AGTGCCTTTGAACATGAAAAACATCCTGAAGGCCAGGAGTCCTATGAAGGAACTGAAAGGTAGGAGAGATTCCAAAGAATTTCTCTCCTCATTTTCAACATATAAAGTGAATAGTTTAAGTCACTTTATTAAAGACTTCATGAAGAAAAGTGTTCCTTATTATGCCATCAATTTATGCTACTAACACCACAGGAATTTAGAGATACTGGTCCTAGGCTACATAATTAATGGGTCATCAAAAAGGAACCTCTCAGTTATTAAGTAGCTATTAAGTGAGTTAACTTCCTATGCTAAGTAAGGTTCCCAAAGGTCACTTCCCCCATTTGTAAAAAGAAAAGGTGGCCTGGCCAGTGCCATTCAGGAATCTCTGCTAACTGTAAAATGTGGACTCATTTTCTTGGTTTTTTTAGTCCATGTGTATATAAACTTTCAGTTCTTTAAATCAAAAAATTTTATGCACATAACTGTGTCCATGTATTGCCCTTAGTTAAAAAATGTACAACTACATAAATAAAAACTATTGTTTCTTCAATATTACTTGACATTTCTTCTGTAATTTATTTTAAAAAATGTAACAAGATACTTAAAAAAGGCTAGATACAAAAGTAGTTAAGCTGCTCACGAACATTTAAAATTTTCCAAAATGTATCTTCAATAATCATGATCTTATAAAACATTTTACAGTTATCAGAAAGTGCCCAGGCTGAGTTTACATAACTGAAATACCTTAATACAAATGTCTAGTTAGAACTGAAGTGCAGTAACCTCCTGGCTGACCTCTCATTGAAATAGGGATACAAAGGAAAAAAAAGTTGATTGTGATCAAGTATTGTGCATTGGCCCCATCGTATGTACAAAAAAGTGCCCTCACTCAAATGAACAATTACATGCAAAATATTAGTGATATCATTTAATATCCTAGAGCTCAACGCAGCCAAAATAAACCGCAATAAGTGGTTTTCATAGGTAAAGGTGATTTTATCTCTAAGATCTGAATGTCCAGAACTTTTTACAAGTTCCATATACATGATACACAATTGCAGCCAACCACAAATTAATCAAACACCATAAAAAAGTTAAAATGAAAACACAGAACATACTTAATTTTTTATTTTGAAATTCCCTATTCCCTCTATACAAGAACCTTTGCTGAAACACTTTCCACAAAGGCAGCAGTGAATTTTCAGAACATTTTACATTTTTCCCCCCTCAGCAAAAAGATAAATCACAGTGTAAATTATGTTGTTCTGCTGTCATCTTTGGCTGGGGTGCGACCCAGAAGTTGTTGACTAGCAAACCGTTATGGCCAAATGTTGCTAGTGCTCCTCAGGCCTTTATGCTACAGACTCAGCAAGGAATGTTTGCACTTAATCTCTGTAAGGTACCTCCAGGGGGTGTGACAGCACTGACTTCCATAAACTTTATAGACAAATGGAAAAAATCTACAAAATTAGCTAGTAATATTACACAGCAGTACACACTTTTTATACTCTACACAAAACCAAAATTCTTGGTCTTAATGGCGAGTAGCAATTTCTGTTTGAGAATCTGTTTAGAGGAATAGAGTGGGACGTAAAGTCGAGAAATGCACGTATTTGCAGTAGGAAGATGCTGGTCATCTGGTGGCCTTATTGTGATTGAGGGCATCGGCTGAAATCCTTCCTCACTGGCTGGCAATGATGGGCTTGATGTCCAAAAGTAAACCTGAACAGGAAATAATTACAGCTTTGGCTTTTAACAGATTCATAGTCAACCCTTAATTCTGGCAATATACACACAGAGACCCATTCTTGTGTTAAAACCTACAAAAGGATATTAAAGTATTTCAAACTGGGTTTTAATTTTTTTTCTCCGTACTGAAAAGGAAAGGTTCGGGGATAAAAGAAGAAACGGTGCCAGGTGTGCAGAGAAGTAGCTATGTTTTGGGCACTCAGCTTCTCATCTGTACTGTGAGGCCATTGGACCGAATATTCTCTAAGGTCCTTTCCAATGGCTAAACTGCCTGGAGAATCTCTTAATGGAAAAAATATACAAAGTCTTCCAAAAATTCATACAGGTTATCAAAAAAGGTTAAAAAATTCATACAAGTTATCAAAAAAATTTATTTTGCATTTTATCTACTAGCAAAACAGCCCAGTATTTTCAGTGCTACACTGTGATACACAATAACTTTATAATAGTAATCTGTACATCAAAATCCATGTAATAAGCCACATTAACATTGTTTTACTGCACACCTACTTTGTGTGACATAAGATAAATGTTAACTTCTACTTTATTTTTTACTTATATATGATAACCTAGGATATGCTTTCCTGTCATGTTTATATAGTTTTATTTTTATTAATACATACCATTCCATATTGACCCATGCATACCATTCTTTAGTGATAATTAAACACAGTGCCTGTCTCATAAGGTAAAGCTTTTAAAATCTAATACATTTTATAGTATACAACTAAACAGACAAATACAGGGTCCAGCACAAGTAACACCCTTTTTTATTACAAATCTTTTATTACAAAATCAGCATGTAATTCTGTAACATAACAATATCACACTCAAGCACATGACAAGTTCAAATTAAAACTATAAATTGTTACACCCATATTATCACCCTACCAACCTCACTCAAACAGGCCTTACTTCTGCTGGACCCTGCATATTCAGTATCTCAGAGTAACTAGGAAATCTAAATGAACTAATCTGCTATTTCCTGAAGCATAGTTTTATGAGAAATACCATTAATTCTAGAAACCGTGTAATTTGCAGGACTAATAATTCAAGAGAGAACAGTTGGGGAAACCCTATTATATTATTATATCCCTCAGCACTCAGGACAAAGCCAACAATATGTGAAGGAAAGGGAAGAGGAGAGGGAAAAGACTCCTTGATGCGCTGCTTGAGCCCCTGGAATAGATTTCATACAGGCATTTAAAAAGTGAAGCTCACAAATTAAAGCTATTGATTGGAAATACTGAGGCCTTTATAGAGAGAGATTTTGTCTTTCTGTGTCAAGACTGAAGAGTTAGCGTATTTCTCTTCCAGGAAAGCAGAAACTGCAGTGAGATTTAACTTCACTAACTGGACAGAGGAGGTGCTGATTTAAAAGCAGCAGAAAATTAAAACTAGGGAATAGATAAAAAGATATACCTTAGAATTCATACCAGATAGCCAGTCATTTCTATTTCTGTTTCTGGTAGATCTTACAGAGTATGTTGCCTGTTACAGGGAAAGGAGGTTCCCAGATTCAAAGACTGACTGCAAGTGGTATCACCCTAAGCTATTTAGGTGCTCCTGATAGCAGTGAGGACAGATATGGTATTAGGGAGTAGGACTTTAGGGTCCACAAGATTGGGAAAGCCAAAGTTATATGGAACCGATTATACCAAATTTACCTGTGGAACAATCTAAATGGAAATCACCAGGACTGTTGAACAAACTGAAATATTAATGAAGAAATACTGAAGACTTGGGACAGGGGGATGCACTTGTGTAAAGATTAAGGAGTACTAAAAGCAGGACCCTCTCCCCTCCCCAAAATAAGTTATTGCCTGAATTGAAGGCCAATGGGAAATTGCAAGTTTGTGCTTTCCTGCACAAGTAACCATCTCCCCCTTTCAAATAAAACTGGGGGATATATCTAGAAATGGGATCATTTTTATATATTGCATCAGTTTAGATTACTGAGAACTAAGGCTAGTTCAGTAAGGGAAACATTCCTCAAGTTTTTACAAGAATGTATAGTGGAGACTTCTATTTCAAGATTAAAGTACAAGTTACTTGGTTATGGATATACTCCAGGTTGGACAAAGATTCCATTGACTTTATGACAGGCTTTTCACTGTGATGAAAGTTAACATCTAGTTTCATCTTCTAAATTAGTAAGTAATAATGAGATTAAAATCATAGGTTTAATATCTACATATCACAATTAAGCTACTCTATTGCTAGTGTATAGAGATTAATCAAGATACTATACTGTTCAGATAATACTTCAGCTGTTCTGTTGCAGAAAAGCAAAACTGCCTGTTATTTGACCTCCCATAGTTTCTTTCACCAAAATTTAAATAACCAACCATTACAAGCTGAAAACAAAAGGCTGTCATACAACCATTATTTTACCATTTTATATCTTCTTCTACAAGTTTATGAACTTAACTTACAAGATCTTGCCGCTCTGTCATGCTCATCTTCTCTACTATTGACCAGAACCAGCGCTTGAACTGTAAGAGCTTCTCGGCATTTTCTCCTAAGATTGAAGAACGTATCAAATTCAATATACTCTATCAGTAGTTACATCTTTAGAGTATTTCTTATTATAAAAATGCATATATAACTAAAATGTTATTTAGGTCTAATTTTTAATACAGGAAATTAGGACCATTTGCACAATGTAAAACCTCTACAATTTATTAGTCAATCCTGACTCAAGATAACCAAGAAAAATGAACCTTCAGTCTCAAAACTGATAATCACATGACTTTAATCCCATCTGAAAGTCAGGATTCTTCTTATGATCTTAAGCCAGTGCTTCTCAAATTTTAATGAGTTTACAAACCACTTGGAGATCTTTCTAAAATGCAGATTCTCATTGACAAGGTCTACAGGGAGGAGTGGGGGAAAGAAACCAGAAATTTTGTATTTCTGCAAAACTTCAGATGCTGCTGCTGATCTGAGGATTATACCCAGAGTATCTTTAGATACATTCTTTCCCCTCCTAGCTTTTTGACTTGAAATGCAACAGATTTTTACCTCAAAAGTATTGAAAACTGTATGAAAAAGTAGCACAAAAACTATTATACAATGACATATATACTACCAAGCATGAAGAAAAAACAAGAAAATGTATCCAAATTTAACTTACTATAATTTGGCTGAAGTTGTTTGAAAAATAAAGGGGAAAAAATTGGCACCTTCAATGTATGCAATAATCTTGGGCTATAAGTATAATCCTCTCCTAATAAGCTTCTTGGAGTTTATGGTGTTTTATTGTATAGTCACAGCCATGAAGTCTATTCCTAGACTACAGGACTCTGGAAAGAAAGAGCTGCAGCAAACCAAGCACTGAAGGTAAATGTTATTCTAGGGAGGTTATCCCCACCTCTCTTTACTCTTTTTAGATTCTCCGTGTGTTTGTGTGCTGCCATGTCTTTGTAAGTGCACTTTGGGCAAATACCATGCAGTCCAAATCTTCAGAGAGTTTAGGAGACATAAATCAGGAAAGTTCAATGGAATTGTCACATGCATTGTTTTTTCTTATTATATATAAAATCCTTTTCACACAGTTGCTCACTACAAAGAATTTTTACAAACCATATATTCTTTAAAATCTAGAAAAAATAAGCAATAAAAGTCTAGTACTGAGCCATCGTCATTCAATCATATGTTAAAAAAAAACAACAAAACTTTTAAGCATCTGAGTAATTACAGCATTTCCAAAGCCCTATAAACATATCTAAAAATCAGAAACTCAGAAAGTGCTGACTGACCAAACTATCTGTGTAGATTATTCCTTAAATAAACATTTCAAAAATTTCATACCTGATTCATCATTGAAAGAGGTAAAACTGATCAGCATTTGCACATTAACTTCACCACAGCCATTTACCAAAAGCCTAAAATCTTCTGCTGTTAAATCTTCTAATGAGTTTTTTGGAAGCACATCCAGTAGACCTTTCCTCATTGCCTAGAGAATTTTAAAAAGTATCCTTTTATTATTATTGGTATTTTCTATGTAACCTTTATTGTTGTTAAAGCCTAGTATCTAATTTTAGCAGCTTCTCTCTAAAAATACTAGTTCCCCTTTTAAACCAGAGAGAAAAACATTAAGTTCTGCATTTTTAATTTCTTATTAGTAGATTCAAAAGAGGGGCAAAGGGAGGAGTAATCGATAGGCTTCATTTCAAAGGTGAAGTAGTATTACACAGCAGTCATTAACTGAAGCAAATTCTTAAATTGTGTTGACAACAAAGAGGGTAGTCATTAAATAAACAAAAATAGCCTCATCTGTCAAATGTGCTATCCTGCCAACATCCTAGGGTAGGTCTTAAAATGACAAAACAAACTTCCCCAACACAAACCCAAAATCTAGAAGCTTACTGAGAAATAATTACCACAGGCCAAGAACTGATCTAAGCACCTTACGTGTATTAATTCATTTAATCCTATCCTCATCTTTCAGAGGAGGGAAGCAAGGCACAAAGAATGTAAATAGTTTGCTCACGTCACATCTCAGCGCTGCAGCCATGACCGGAACCCTGACAGCAGGGCTCCAGAGCCTGCACAATTATTCCCAGTGCAAGGACCAGAGACATCTGACGCTGCCAGTCCTAATCTACATAGACATTTTCCCTAGAAGGGGAAAGAGTCAATGTAGCAAGTTTGATGTTGTGCTTTAGAAGGGCTTGATTGGCCCTTGGCTGGTATCCAGAACTTGGTTTTTGGAATATTGCCTACATGACTATCTAATGTGGCTGTTTGGAATGTCTCTAGCAATGAACCCTGCTGTACAACTTGCCCAGACTATTTGTGCATACAGTGTGGTTTAAGATGAACAAGTGCTTCCCTCTGGGCGTCTGATCTCGGTAATCATGGCTGGTTGTGAAGGCAGGAGGAATATGCTTATGGGACTGGCCTCTAGTTAAAAATACGAGACTGACTCCTAAGCAGGCTTCCCGAAGCACAAGCACTGCATGTGTTGCTCTAAATCACTGCTAAAGGAAGAAGTGTGTTCTTTGACAACCCACACCCAGCGAGAGAACTAGGAAAGCCTGCACACCTTGCTGAGTCCTTTCGCTCTAAGCCATAACCATGAGCACAACTGCCTCTGAGCCCTAGATACAGTACATCTAGTAAGTCAATGAAAGTATGAGCAGTTGTAGATCCCCAAACAGTCATGTCAGTCCCACGAGCACCCTTTCCAAACTTTTGCCCATAAAATTAAGTTTCTGATGATCGTGTTTTTTCCAAGTAGTTTCACCTCAAGAAAGTGAGTAATAGGCCTGGATTTGGGTGTAATTTACATTATAAATAAATTCACTTTGGTTTAAAAATTTTGACCTTTTATAGGCAAGCTGAATATACCATGAATTAGTTTGCCACGCAGGACGACACATACAGCCTCTTCAGATCAAGTAACAGTTTTTAGAAAACACTTACGTGTAATGGCTGTTCTGCAACTACCAACATTCTGTGCTCTGCATATTTCCGTACATATTCATACACATTCTGAGGAGTCACTGGTATATTTACACCATTAGGAATAAGTTCAACCTGTGAAAAAATTCAGCAGTGCCATTTAAAAAGCTTGCTTAACAGTGCATGAAACAATTTCCTAAATTTTTAAACCCAAGGACAATTCTGTATCTGGCAAGTATCTAAGAAATACAAACCTTCTGGCCTAAATAAGTACAAAAAACTCTTCTCATTCTCAATCTCTCTGTTTCTCTCCCCCACTCCCTCTCTCTCAGTTTCTGTTAATCTCCTGGGTTTTTTTCTCTGTATTTGTGTATGTCTCTTTCTTTCTTGGCTCCTATCTAAACTGTTTCTACATAAGACAAACACAACAGACTAACCAAATTTTCTTGCCAGAATCAGAAAACTACATAATTGGTTTTACCTGTCCTCCACCCTCTTCTTTACACAGGTCAATTGCAAATGCCAGATCCATCGCTGAGAAAACAGCATCAGCATCTGAACTCTGAGAAGCAAGGATAAGTTGCCGCAAACTCTCATACATCACAGGGTCAAAAAACGCAAAATCATGCCAATTGACCTAAGAAAGTAATCATATGAAAATTATGAAAGAAGTATCTTTACTGGATTCATCAGTAAACTGAAATCTATGATAAAGAATAATCTGAAGTTATAATGATGAAAAATAATCTTCCATTACATACAACTGATTTAAAGAGGAAACATTTAATACATCTTTGGTTCTGATAGCATATTTAATTTTTAAAGTATGAAAAGTATTCAAATATTTTTTCATAATATTTCAAGAATATTTAAGAATAGTTTGAAAAATTCAAAATCAAAGTATAATTTTTTTAAGTTTCAAAATAACACATTTGTAAAAACCAGCACTAATTATTAAACAGTGATTATGCTGAGCAACACTGGTCCTAAAGTAAATATGCATCCTGTTTATCTTGACAATAATTTTAAAATAAAGATTACTAATTCATGATAAATCTGACACTCAAAGGAATTCAGTAATTTGCTAAGATCAGGTCATTGGGTTAAATCTGTAATCTATTTAAGTCCATGATCTTTTCTATAAACCTTGTAACCCTGTTAAAGCTAGACATACCAATGCTTGTAGGTTGCTAAACTTTAATTCCAGTTCTTCCTTGCACAAGAACACGTTATAGCTAGACTACTTTTAAGAATTCAGTGGAGCCCTAGCTGGTGCGACTCAGCGGATTGAGCATGGGCCTGCAAACCCAGGGGTTGCTGGTTCCATTCCCAGTCAGGGCACACGCTTGGGTTGTGGGCCAGATTCCCAGTTGGGTGCATATAAGAGGCAATCACACACTGATGTTTCTCTCCCTCTCTTTCTCCCTTTCTTCCCCTCTGTCTAAAGAAAAATTATTTTTTAAAAAATTCAGTAGAGTCAGTCTACGGCCATACCATCCTGAATGCGCCCCATCTCATCTGATCTCTGAAGCTAAGAATTCAACAGAGTCAAAATTTGTGGGCTTTTTTTAACAGAATAATATTTATATCATAATACAACACTGCTGTATTAGTAGAAAACAATAGTGGGTTTGATTAAAGAAAATGCTTGAAAATGATTTACAATGGCTCTAATGCTTAAAAATTTAATATTAAAATAATGCCATAAACAGTATGCTAGTTTGAAAAATAACTAAATAAAATTTTAAAAAAAAAGAATTCACAAATGAAAAAAAAACCGTATGCTAGTATATAATTATTTTACAAAAGACAATTTTTGCAATTGCAAGGGCAGTTTGGTTCTTTTAAAATCACTTACTTTTCTACCAAGCAACACTTTAATCACATGTCTGTTCAATGTGATAGGGCATAGTTCATTCTGTAACAGACAGAGTCCCAGAATCCTAAAAGCAAAAACAAAAATATTTACATTCAAAAACGATTCTAGAACATGTATAACCCCTCACATACATATATAATATACATACAGTATTTTGAGAAACTTTCTATAGCCTCATTTCTAATCAGTATGGATTTGAATATATACCTATTTTTAAAACTAACGTATTTTACAAAGTCTGATCAACTGAAATTCTTAAAAACTTGAAACATAAGATTGGGGTATTTTACCTGCCAATGTTTCGGAAACAATTCAGCCTTGCCTCTGTGTTTTTGCCTGGTCGTGGAGTGTAAAACCCCCGTTTTCCGGGTTGGTGGAACAAAGGGGCGTTGTCGTCACCGTCATCTGTGTCATCCAGGTCCATGTCCACGACACTCCGACTGGAGCCGTGACGCTTCCGGTTTTCCTAACAACAGTATCAGAAGTTGAGTCCCAAGATTAATTTTAAAAACAAAACATACAAAGTAGTCATTCAAAGTGAAATCTGGTAAGTAGGCCAACATTCATATTTAAATGTATGTGTACAACACACTAAAGGCACACTTTGTAACTCATCCTTTGAGAACTGTGATGTACAAAGCTTGTGCCATGTAGGTCTGTAAGTTCTCTGTTCAGGTAAATTAAATCACATAATGAAACTCGGGTAGCTCCTTCTACCTCCATTCCTTAAAAGGCATTTTCACTGGATGTAGAATTCTGGGCTGATAATTCTTAAAGCATTTTTAGGATGATGTTCCATTGTCTTCTGTATCAGAGTTTTTGACGAGAAATTCAGTGTTTCAAATCACTGTTAGTCTCCGTGTAAGGCACTGCTGACTTGTCGGTTTTACAAAAGTTTGACTGGACGTGGTTCTCTTTCAGTGTATCCTGTTTACAGTTCACTAACCTTCTTCAATTGATTAGTCTGTCTTGCATCAAAGTGGGGAAGTTTCAGCTATTATTTCTTCAAATATCTTTTCTATCACAAGCTCTCTTTTCTGGGTACTCCAATGACATGAATAGTTAATCATTCATGGCCCCCCCCAAAATTGTTTGAAATCTGTTTTTCAGAATGGATAATTTCTAACTCTCTTCAAACTGACCAATGCTTTACTGTCATCTTCATTCTGTTACTGGCCTCTCCAGTGCAGTTTTTTTTCAGGCAGTGTACTTTTAACTCTGAAATTTTCTTTTCATTCTCTGCTTAGAACCTCTATCTTGTAATTCCTTGGTGTTTTTGATAATTCTAACAACTGGGTCATCTTGAAGTAGCTTCTACTGGTTCTTTCCCTGGGAAAACTGGTCAGTGTTTCCTGGTTCTTTACATGTTGAGCAATCTGGAGTGTATCCTGGACTTTGAATATTAAGTTGTGAAAGTTAGGGTCTTGTTAGGGAATGTTGACGTTTTGGCTTCAGTAGGCAATCAACCAGGTCAGCTTCAGACCGGAAGTGACACCTTCTGTGTGCAGTGGTTCTAACACCAAGTTCCTAAAGTCAATTTTATTACTGTACTATTTAGGGCCTATTCTGCATATTCACCACTTCACATCGTCTTGGACTCAAGACAGTGGTTTATATGATAGGTTAGCTCTCAAAGCCTTTGCTCTACCTTCCAGTTCAGGTGGAGTAACAGTGACCAGCGTACTCTCCCCTCCTTGAAACAATGCCATACCACCTGTTTTTCAAGTTTTGATTTCCCTCTCCAATCTGGGTGTTACTGCCTACTTCTCAGGATCCCCAAACAATTCTATTTTGTATTTTGTCCAGAGTTTTTAGTTGTAAGCAGTGCAAGAGATAAGATACTGGTTTTGCTCCATCTTGGCTGACAATGAAGTTCTCAGGCAGCTTCAGAAGGAAATGCATTTATGCACTAGAAAGCCTTTTTAACTGCTATACTGAGCGTCACATTCTGTCTGCTGCTTTGACACTTAGCACCACTTTGAGAAATAAGCTCTAGGATTGCATATTACCTCTCCTTCTCTGCTATTAATTCATGACATCTCTAAATTAAAGCTTAATTCAGGCTGTGCTCAAACAGAGGCAGCCAGTGAGTAGGGTTACACTGAGCCCTAATTAAAACCAATCTATTTACCTAAATCTGTTTATGACATCTTTGTTTTTTTCTTACTATAACCAAGCATTTTACTTATAAAGGCATAATTTCTTCATTAATATGGCTTTCCTCCCTTTCTGTAATTCAGATTAACTCATTACTAGTTCACCTACAAAGTATCTCTTACCTGTACCTTTTCTGAGGAGTCTAATAATCCGAGATCCAGGATACTATCAGCTCCATTTTCCCTAAAAACAAATAAAAAGCCTTTCACATTCCAGATAACTGAAACTTCTCAAATTTAGTGTAGAAAAAAAACATTTGAATTCAAATTTATAAGAATGTATAAATACATTTAAGATTTTAAGTAAATAAATATCTGGGGCACTTGCTAGTCTTAATGCAGAGAAGTCAGTAATATATACAAAAAAGCACTAGATGTCCCATCTATGATTCAAGATAATGAGCTAAAGTCTAAGACAAAATAAACATGGTCTTCACAGAGGTGCTGAAACTTACGCTTGGGGGAGCATTGTGAAGAGCAGGAAAATGTTCAGAAAGCAATTACAATGGGAACTAAAGGGTTTTAATTTAAATTTTTTTGTGTTGTATTTTCCCCATTACTACTTGTCCCTCTTATGCCACCCCCAGCAATCACCACTCTGCTGTCCATGGGTCTTTCCTCCTTTTTGCTCGATCCCTCCACCCTCTCCCTCCTCCAGAGCTGTCTGCCTGCTCTCTATCTGTGAGTCTGTTTTGCTTGCTAGTTCAGTTTGTTCATGAGATGGAATTAAATTCTTTAGTGTATTATTCCAGAATACTATTAACTTTACTATTCACTCATAAAATTAGGTGACGAAGGCAGTCAATATTATATATTATTTGCATTACATAGAAAACACCACTGAATTAGCAAACCTTACATATATTTACAAAAACTCTTATCAAATAGATATATCCTCTCAAGTTTCTCTCTAATAGTCTGAGCTGTATCACTGTGCTAATACCTCCAGAGACACAAAAGAGGATATAATAGTACACAAAGTCTAGAAGAAAAATAGTAATAGCAAAAAAAAAAAAAAAAAACCTTCTAGCAATAGTCTTTGGCTTGGTCCACTCAAAGTCTCTGAAACAGGGGAAGTGACTGTTAGTGCCAGTGCTTAGCCTATCTGCTTTCTACCTGTAATCTAAGTTCCTCATGACTGGGGAGAAAAAAAGATTTTCATCTAAAATAACGAACACCTCAAAGCCTCGAACAATCAGAGTAGCCCCAGGACAGAAGGCGTATCTTCCTAATGTCATCTGTCAGCTTGGAAGAAGGGTAAGTAATATATGTTACATGTTTAAAATAAAACTTTCATATTGAAACAAATATATTACCCAGTGGGAAAGCAAAATCTTGCATGGATTAAGATAAATCAGGAGGCCTAAGTGAAATTGCACGCTTATGGCAAGAACTTAGGGATTACGCCCTAAGGGGGTACCCTGATGGATAATTTGAGATGTACTTCTTACAATTTCTAAATATCAGGTACATAAGGGACTGCTAAAACTCTTTATAATACATATGAAACTCAGATGTCTCAATCATGGATTTTAAGCCATCTCTTAAAAAGCCATTTGAAG